ACAGCGTTTACGGCGGCTCCTCCTCCCAGTCCAGTCTGATGGCCACCATCGTAGAGTTTGTCCTGAAGGAGGAGCCACTGGACGTGGAGAAGATGAGGAAATGTCTCCTCAAACAGGTGACAGTGGTGTGTGTGTGTGTGTGTCTGTATGTGTGTCTGTATTCCACCTAAAACCAGACCCATGTTCTGTCTGTTCTGTGTGTGCGCAGCTGGAGAGGGCGGAGGTGCGGCTGGAAGGAATCGACACCATGCTCAAACTGGCCTCCAAGAACTTCCTGCTGCCGTCGGTCCAGTACGCCATGCTGTGTGGGTGGCAGAGGGTGGTTCCTGAGGGAACCGACAACGGGTCAGTCTCTTCTTTACATCGTTTACGTTGTTACAAAAAAATGAAAATTTATTCTTCAGTCCCTGTCCCAGAGCTGGCAGTAGGTCTGCACAGAACCCCCCCTCCTTCCACCGCTGTAGCACTGCCCCCTGTGCTCACTTGATGCCACTATTGTTGGTTGTTGGTTGCCCCCCCCCCACAGGGAACCTCTGTCCGACTGTCTGAAGGACGTGGATCTCATCCCGCCCTACAACCGCATGCTCCTGGAGGTCACCTTTGGAAAGCTGTACTCCTGGTCCATCCACAACATCCGTAACATCCTGCTGGAGGCCAGTGTCCGCTTCAAGGAGCTGGGTGAGTGCAGTGAAGGTCTGTGGCCTCACCAGGTCCACCACAGACACCCATGGTCCAGCTCTGACTGGTTGGTCGGTGTTTCTGTCCGCAGGTGTGCAGCCTGTTCCTCTGCAGACCATCACCAACGAGAACCCGGCAGGTCCAAGTCTCGGCACCATCCCACAGGCCCGCTTCCTGCTCTCCATGATCCACATGCTGTCTCTTAAACATGGCTCCAACAGCCTGAGTCTGCTGCTGAACTCTGGTCTGCTGGCTCTGACCCAGACCGTCCTCAGACTCATCGGTGGGTTTAGGCGGCTCCACAGTTCTGTGGCTCTGCACCTGTTCTGATGTGTTCTTGTGGTTCCTCCTGCAGGTCCGAGCACAGACAGCAGTGAGGAGGAGCTGAGCTCCTGTGCTCACGGAAGTTCAGCCACAGTTCTGGAGGAGTCCAGGAAGGAGGCCGCTCCGGCTCCACTCCCAGCCTCCGGCCCTGAACTGGCGGCCCTCATGAAGATCGGTACCAGAGTGATGAGAGGAGTTGACTGGAAGTGGGGAGACCAGGTACCAGAGGCGGGTCGCTGGTTTCTGTAGACGGTTGCCGGTACTTCCCTAAGTTCTCCTCCTGTGCTGTGTTCAGGACGGCCCTGCTCCAGGTCTAGGCCGGGTGATCGGGGAGCTGGGAGAGGACGGTTGGATCAGGGTCCAGTGGGACACCAGCAGCACCAACTCCTACAGGATGGGAAAAGAAGGGAAGTACGACCTGAAGCTGGCAGAACCTCCACCTGCTGCTCAGCCTCCACCTGAAGACTCCGACACAGAGGATGACACAGGTGAGTGTCCTGGGTCGGTGTCCTGGGTCGGTGTCCTGGGTCGGTGTCCTGGGTCGGTTCCTGGGTCGGTCCTGGGTCGGTGTCCTGGGTCGGTGACCTGGGTCGGTGTCCTGGGTCGGTGACCTGGGTCGGTCCAGGTCTGCAGACTTTCCCTGTGGTGTGGCTGAAGAGCACAGCTTTGATCCTTGACTTTGTTCCAGAAGGTGAGCTGATGGAGAAGAGCAGCCACCCGACGGCCATGATGCTCACCAGCACCGTCAACCTGCTGAAGACCCTGTCCCTGTCAGCGGGGATCCATGCAGAGGTTCTGCAGACGGACGCCACCAGAACCTTGTGTGGTCTGCTGAGGATGCTGGTGGAGAGTGGAGCCAACGACAAGTCTGGTAACAGAGCAGTCACCCAGAACAAAAACCAGTCAGCAAGTTCACCATGTACACCTTGGTACCATAGAGATGATGTGCTCTATTCTAGTAGACGTATTTCTAGTTGAACACCACACACAAAAACAATAATCACCTTTTAACTCACTACTACTACAGCTAAGACTAATACTGATTTACTGTTTACTACTACTAACCTACTAACCTACCACTGTTCAGGTTTTTTCCCCGTTCTTCTTCAGAGCCTTCATTTCCTAAAGGGATTAAAAAAGATCAATCTATCACATGCTAACCTTTAGCTGTTTTTGCTAACCCCTAAAGTAAACGTTATCTTAATCACGTTCACTGCTACGTAGCAATTTGGTGATGGGTTAAAAGCTGAGGTGACATGTGGTGCAGTGGTTTGTCTCCATGACTTGGTTCTGACCCGTGTTTCTGGCGTCCTCTGTCAGGGTGTCACGCTCACAGACTGGTGTCTCGGGAGCAGCACAGGAGTTGGTGCACCCTGGGCTTCATCCGCAGCATCGCGCTGATGCCCCAGATGTGCACCACCCTCAGCACCTCCGCCTGGATCAACTTGCTCATCAGAATCGTGGAGGGTCACCAGTCCTTCAACGCCGTCACCCTGCAGAGACAGGTGGGTGACCGAGCCGGCCCCGGTCTCAGGACTGGGTCAGCTGACGTCTGGTAACGGAGTCTCTGCTGTTTCCAGATCCTGGCGCTGCGCCTCCTGCAGGCCGTCCTGCCCTCCTGGGAGAAGTCAGAGCGCTGTCACGACATGAGGTTCTTGGTGGAGAAACTCTTTGGCTTCTTGGGAACCTTGCTGAGCACCTGCTCCT